TGAGTAACAAACAAGAAATTAATGACCACATTTTTTTGGAAAGGAGGTACATTAAACCATTGTTTTCCGAGAAGAAAACGACTTGATGTGTACAATTATCACCTGAAAATGACACAAGGCGAGTTCTAATGTATTCCTTGTTTTTTTGCTATATTTTAAGGCCCTGTTAAACTTTTCCTGCATATACCAAAGCTATTGTAATTGCATCAACGCCATAATTCACAAATTGGTGTATCATATCATCATTAAATATTCTTGTGGTGTCAATGTCACCCTTCCATCTCATGTCATCTACATTTTTTCATATTTTTCATAATACTAGCAGCCTAAAGCAGCCTTGCAAGATCATTTAAATAATTACATATATATATATATATATATATATATATATATATATATATATATATATATATATATATATATATATATATATATATATATATATATATATATATATATATATATATATATATATATATATATATTATATATAAAGAGTTTGATTATTTGAAAAAATACAACTTTGTGATGAAACTTAAAGTTTCATGCCCTTCGGCAATCATTAGTCATATTTTATTCTTTAAATTTTAAAAAAAATGTTAAAAAATACAAAATACAGTTTTATAATTAATTAAAAAATTGCTCAATCACCCGTGTCGAATAGGGCAAGAAGGAACTTGTTTTGATGCACTTCAAAAAAGTGACTTGGATACCACTTGGATACCATTTCACTTTTTTTGTTTAGCAGATTTTTATTTTTGGAAATAGAATTTCATATTTTTCGTATGTGCATAGTTTGCAGGACTTCGTCGTTGGGTTGTAAGCATTGCACTGCTTAATTATTTTCCATTTGACGACTGTGTTTAAGTTGGCATCTTTTAATTTCCAAAATTCTTTTGATAATTCTGTGTCATTTTTGTATTTTAGAATGTTAAATGTTTTTATATGGTTGGCATATCTAATTTTGAATGGTGTTTCACTTATACCAATGTAGGATTTGTTGACATGAGTGTTAGTAGAGTATTATAAGTAATAATAATAATATAGTAAGTTAGATAGATAAATTGCATGCATATATTGTGTGTGACTTGTAGGATTATTGGAACTTATATTGGCTTGGTATACAATGTTTTTTGTTGAGCATTGGTTTGATAAAGGGCAGGTATTTTTATTAAGGCAATTGCAGTTGGTTTTAGGTAGAATTTTGTTGTTGTTCATAATGTTGATTGTGTGCATTTAAAAAAGATTTCATATTCGGCATACAGCTATAACTTATTTTTATCGTGTTTCTGTTAAAAATTTTGTGGAGTCTGTGATTTTTTGGGAAGTGTTTGTTGATTAAGGTTAAAAAACTTTTTCCTACATTAGTGCTAACATTTTTGCTGAAAGGAGGGTTGAACCATATGATGTTTCGTTTACGGTTTTTGGTATGTGGTAAATTTAAATTAGGGTGATATGAAAGTTTGTGATTAAAGCCGGATCTTAATAGTGCGCCATTGTACATAGGAGTAGATCTTTGGAAGATTTCTTCGCTAGACAAATTTGCAGACAATCTTAACTCAATTGAATGCGGAAGCTGTTTTAAAATATTAGGCGGGTGGTTTGAATCAGCGTGAATATAGTTTATAGAATACACTACAGATAGTTTATAGAATACCCTACGGATAGTTTATAGAATACCCTACGGGTAGTTTATAGAATACCCTACGGATAGTTTATAGAATACCCTACGGATAGTTTATAGAATACCCTACGGATAGTTTATAGAATACCCTACGGATAGTTTATAGAATACCCTACGGATAGTTTACAGTTAGGCTTCTAGTTGAAAATGATTGTTGTTGAGATTTAATGTGACGATAATTTTCTTATTGAACTAAGTTTCAAATTTCGAACATCACATTAGCAATAAATTTGTAAAAATTTTAATAAAAATCACAATATTTTTTATTCTTGACATGTTTTGTAGTCTTACTACATTTTCAAAAAATATAATTTACAATTAAAACTCTGGTAAATAAATTTAAAAACTGAAGACAATACAGAGAAAAAATTAACGGACAAATAAACTTGTTACAAACCAATTAAAAATTATATTACAAATTATGAGAAAATAAACTTCCTAATATTAAAATATTATTAGTAATAATAATAATATAGTAAGTTAGATAGATAAATTGCATGCATATATTGTGTTTGACTTTTTGAGTTGAAAATTGGCTTTGTTTTCAATGTGTATTTTTCTAACTCTGTTTGATGAAAAAGTTCATTATTTACAATACATCAATCACTTGCAGAACTTGTCTGAATACCAAAACAACTTTGCATGCTTTTTTTATAGATTTTAACACAAAGAAATTATTGAAATATTTATCTTTTAAAAATGATATTGATTTTTAATATGTAAAAATTTCAATAAAAACTTGATTTAAAAAACTGGAAAGATATCTTTAGAATCAAGAAGTTACATAGAATCAAAGTAGTATTTGAGAGTTCATATGAGGATTGAACCTGCAAAACCAGACAAGTCCACTCCTAACATTTTACATACATTTAGTGCCCCAAGCATTGTGGACATGTTCTACTCGTCTTCAAATAGGTCAGATGTGCATAATCTGAGATAAAGCGTGATGAAATCATTGATTTCTGCAGAATCAGTAAAAAATGTTTTTTATTTTTCTCATTTTCCCCAATTTTTTCAGAGTGGACTTGTCTGGTTTTTCAGGTTTACTCCTCACATATAACATGAAAAAAGTTATTTTAAAAATGTGGTGCATCTGGTATTTCCTCTAAGACTAAGTTAGCATTAACTGTTTTTATTTAAAGCCGATCAAGTTGTATAAAGTCATGCCAAGTTTCAAGTCCATAGATTCATTTGCTGCAAAAAACAACCAATTATTTGAATGCGTTTTTTGGAGTACAAATACCAAAACAAGCTAAATTTCTGTTGACAATATCACTAAAATTATTCCTAAAAAAGTAATCAAACCAACTAGGAAGAACAATTTTAAACAATTCCATGTATGTTTAAAACAGTTTTCCACAAAAGCAATGAATAAAAAAGTATTTTTAATTTTTTTTTTTTTGTGGTTTTATTTTGAATTTTAAATTGCACAATCTCTAGTATACATTTCTGTATACTGATAATGGGAAGTGGTCCCCTATTTCGGAACCCTAAATTGACAAAAATTTGTCTAAAAACATAATTATGAAATTCTGTTTTTTTTTTTTTTTTTTTTTCCACACAAAATGCTGCTATAAATTCTTTAAAATTAAATCTAAAACAAATAACATATAGTATTGTAATGTTACAACATAAATAGTTCACACGTGCAAGTGCAGACAAATTTAGATTTAACCTTACCCCACCTACTCTTGACTCACCCCCTTCTTTCCTCCATTATTTACCAAAATAATTTCTAAATGCATATTTTGATTACATCGTTAAAAAGTATTTTACTTTTCTAATTAAACTATAGCTCAGAATTTAATTTTTAATACATTTAATAATAATGATAACACAATTGGTCATAGGAGGTGGAGTGGGTAAGGGGAGGGTGGGTTTTGTATCAGTTTCAATATCTTGCAGCACAGTTGTGTAATTTTCTATTTTAAGGTTAATATTCCTACAATAGTAAAGCCTCATTTAGTAGCTAAATTTTTTTGTTTTGATTTTTTGTTATTCCCCTCCTCAAGGCCGAGAAGGCCACTACAGACGAGGAGGCTACTTAATAGTGGTTATAACCCTCTCTCAACTCTATAACTCCAAAACACAAACCTTGACAAACAAGTTGAGCGCGGAGAAACAAGTTGAGCGTGGTACTACCAGGGACGTGGTGGGAATCAAACTCGGAACCTCTCGCTTATGAAGTGAGTGTTTTACCACTACCGCATAACTTACCGCATAAATCTACCGCATAAATAAAATGTATTCACCAGTAGCATGTTTAAGTTTCTAAGCACAGAAGTAGGAAATTAGCTACTCAACATAGCTTTGAAGAAAAATTTACCACCAAGATAAATACACTTTTTCAAAATTACCCATGGTGCTCAAGGAATTGTCACATCAAAACAAATAACGATAAAAAGTTTCTGATAGACCACTGATGTCCCTGAAAAATGTTAATGACATCCAAATAAAACAGGCAGTTAAATTAGTCAACGACTTGAAGTTTCCACAAAAAACTCCTCTCCCTACCACCACTACCACCTCAATTTACCCTTGCTATATACTTTGTCTTATACCCTTGCTATATGCATTCATATACTTGTCTTTACTCTAATGAGTAAAACTAATGCATGACAATAGTTGACATGTAACACTGACAATAGTTGGTTTAATACTTTTCAGAAATTTAGACAAAAATGGGTCTCAAAACAGCTTAAAAAGCTTGTCTGGGTCCCAGTGTCCCTAGACGGGGTCTGGGAATGGGTCACTGCTATATACATTTATATAATTGTCTTCACCCCAATAAGGAAAACTGATGCATGTAACATTTACACTAGTTTATTTTAATACATATTAAAAATATGTCATTATACACAAAAACAAGGCTCCGATGGGCTTATAAAGCTGATCCGGGGGACCACTTTCCATTATCAATTTGCAAAAAAAACTTAATTGTGTACTTTTTTTATTGAACCTCAACAAATAAGATAGTGTGCTATATTAATTTCATAAATAAAATTTTCTAGACCACTCTAGTGGACCTGTAGTGTTGCACAAAGTTTTATAATGGTTTTTGGTTTAATAATGAATATTTTATGAGTACCTTTGTTTAATAACCATTACTTTATGAATTTATTTTTAATAGGTTTGTTAATAATTTTATTTTTATTATTCAATTAACTATTCTCAAAACTTGTTTAATAAAAATTTACTAAATTTTTTTTTATGCGGATATGATTATTATTAAAATTTATTAAAAACTTGTTCATAAATTTATTGGACACTTGATGAAGCTTTTAATATATGCTAATTTAATTAGACTAATTCTTAGATATATGCTGCAAAATTGTTCAACAATCACAAATTGTTCTTCTTGCTTAAATGCTTTTCATTGTGGATGGTGTTATGATTTTATTGATCCTAGAGTAGGCAGGTTTGTTTTTATAAACTTTTTTTAAACATTCTGTTTATCATTTTTATAGTAAGAAAATTTTTACTACTAAATTTTTTTAGATGTACAATTGGGGATTTTTCTGGGCCAATTAAAAAATGCCAAATTGTTACAATCAAAAGGTTGTTGTTTTAAAACTTTTATTTTTTTAGTTTTATAGCTGAGCCTAATGTGATGTTTGTTTTTTTTTAATTTTGTGTATTGATGTTTTTTCTTATAGTGAGCCAGCATGGAGCTATGAAGTCTGTCCAGATATCAACGAGTGTGCTCTAAATATTTTTAGTTGTGATATCAACGCTTATTGTGTTAATACTATGTATTCTTATGAATGCAAATGTAAACAAGGATATATTGGTGATGGAAAATCCAAATGTATAAAAACGTATGACATTGTTAATATTTACATGCTTGAATATTTATTCTTTATAAGATACATAATATAGAATAATCTTTATCAGGGCTCAAGAAATTGTTATTTGTTATTACAACGAAGTTAATGAAAATGAGATAATGAAATGATTGCAAAAGTTTGTTTTACCGTATTTCAATACACATGATCTTCTGTAAATATTATAGCAAAAATTTTTGATTTATTTTCATAAGTTAATATGTTTTTACTTTTATTTTTTCTTTATTACTTTACATGCCTTCTTCCTTACCAATGATGGAAAATATTCTCAGAGCTTGCATTGAATCCTGGATCACTTGCTTCTAAAGCAAGCGCTCTAACCACCGAGCCACAGCTGCATTATATTAAATAAAATATTTCTTAAAGGAACTTTGTATTACTTTTAAAATTTTTTTTTATTAACTTTGTATTACTTTTAAAAATTATTTTTACTACCAAAAAAGTTTGTTATATTTTGAAGAGTGAAAAAGATTTTTTTTTTGTATACAAAAAGTTTTTTTTTTATTATTTAATAGACTGCCTGCCCTAACCAAACCTTCAGTCGATGTAGCGGCACTCTGTTGCGAGTTAGGCTATAAGACAGTCGATGTAGCAGCACTTCCTTGTAGCAGCAGGCTACATGATAGTCGATGTAGCAACACTCCGTGCATGTTTTACAGTAAAAAAATAAAAATAAAAACATTCAGAATGTTTTTAAAAACATTCTTGTGATTTAATTTACGTTTTTAAATTTAATTGGTTTTCTCAATTAAATTTTGTTATAATCTAGCCTTAGTTTTGTCAGTTTAAAAACCATAGTCAAGCTATGACCTATTTTTTACCACAAACTGTATATTTAACACCTTTACTATAGGTGTATGTGTGTATATATATATATATATATATATATATATATATATATATATATATATATATATATATATATATATATATATATATATATATATATATATATATATATATATATATATATATATATATGCTATTGCAAATATTTTCAAATTATATATTTTTATTAACTCAAAAGCTAGTTTAAATAACTTACAGACAGTTTTTAATTTAACTGCAGTTTATTAAATTTAAAGTAATTTAATAAATTGTTTTATTAAACGTTAAACATGAGTTTTAAGGAATATATCTTCTAATATTTGGAATTATTATGAAACATATCACCCTGACAATAAAAAAAAATGTTGTGAAACATTTAATGAAGTGCTCTAAGAAAATAATGAACACCATTAATGTTTAAATTTCTTTTTTTTTTCTTTCTTTTTTATGTAAAAATAAGAGAAATTCTGCTATCATACATACATACACTATAAAAACACTAAAATCTTCCTTTAAAGTACCAAATTTAATTGGTTTTAATTGGTTGGTTTGATAAAGATTTGCTGGTTAGTATTTTAAACATTATTACCATTAAAAAAGTATTAATAGGTAACAATCTCTCTTCCCATTAAAGGCATAGAGTAGAGCTTTTAAAAATCATAATAATAAATTCAGAGGACAATATAAATCAGTTTTTAAACTTGAATTTTAAAAATTGATGAACTTAATTCTTTATTTATATTAATTCCTACTGTTTTCTGTCTGTTTACTACATATACTATGTAACAGAGGTTGTGCAACAAATTACTGAGATGGTGTAACAAATTATATTTACATTTTGGTACACTTTTAATTTCTTTTTTTCTTAGATATTAAGTTAGTAAGTTTTTAAAAGAATGAGAGTAAATTGATTTGTTTTAGTTTTTTCAATTTATTTTAGCCTATTTTAGCCTTATCTTTTTATGAATATTTTAAAACTAATGAACAGTTTGCTTAAATATTTTAAAACTAATGTCATTTATTAAAATAGTTGTTAATAGTGTTTTTTTTGCAACTTTTTCTGTTTTAAATTAATTTTTTTTTTGTGCATTTATTTGTAAAATTCTTTGACAAAATAAGAAGTTGTTTTAAAAAGCATTGTAAATTACATGTATTTTTGTGGAATATAAATTTGCCAATTGAAAATTAAAAAGCATTGTAAATTGTTTTTATTTTTGATTAATTAGTCTATTAAAGTACATAATTATAATTCCATTAAAAATATGAATATTAAATAAACTTTTTTTTATTTTAATTTCATTAAAAACATGACAGCTTTTTTATCAACCAATCAGTAAGTTTATCAACCACCGCAGTAGTTTATAAAAAAAAAAAAATGCAGCCACAGTTCATCGTCTACTATCAAGAAGCTAAATGGCTGCTACCCTTTTAGACTAAATAACAATTATTAGTTTTTACAAAATCTAAAAATTTTATTCAGTTTAATCATTACTTTAATTTTTTTTTTTTTTTTTTTGCAGATTTCTTTCAGTTTTTTTCACTTTTTAAAAACAATGTTTTTAAAATAAATATGGGCTAACAAATTTAAAAACAGAAATGGTAAAATGCTGCATTATTTTATTTGCAAACCTCAACAATAAAATAAAGAATAAAAGTTAAATTTTTTATCAAATTTTCTACAAAATTTGTTGATTTGTTGCTTACTTGGTTAGTTTATTGGTTGAAATTTAATTAATATGAATGGTTTTTTACTTTTTGTTTAGATGTTGGCCTGAGTGTTATCAAGGAGTATGTAATGAAACCACATATAAATGTGAATGCAATTTGGGTTGGACTGGACAAAATTGTTCAGTTGATTGCGGTTGCAATGGTCATAGTACCTGTTTATATGGAGTTGGTATATGTGATCAATGTCAAGGTAAATTGAAGTTTATGTTCAATTTTTGAAGCATGGCATCTCATGAGCATGACATCTCATGTTCATATCTCCTATGCATAATAGGATCATGAGACAGATATGCATGATAGGGCAGTATTGTTTTTTATTTTTAATTTTCAAATTTGTAAGGTTGCATTTTTTTCTTCTTTTCTACAAATACTACCATGGTTTCTGGTTAACTGAGCTATCATTTTTAGTTTCACCAAAATACAAAATTATTTGACTCATCATTCATTAAAGTTCTTTCACTGTAACTATTCTTTTGTGCTAAAAAAGTTTTAATTCTTCTAGTTTTTTTCCTTGAATGCTCTTTGAACTACTTCCACTACTAATCTGCAGTAGGTTGTACTGGATTACAGTAGCAGGGTGATCTGACCTAATTAGTTGATTATTGGTGATTTTGTTTATTACCTTGTTATCGTTATTGCTACCTTGGAGAAACTATTTCTAAACTTTTATATTTTTATTTATTGATTTTAAAACAGTCAAAAGAATATTTTAATAATTACTAACAATGCTGAAATGTCATAATTGGGTAACCTAGTCAGGCACTTTTTTCCACTTATGATAAAAATACAACAAGTATATGATGAAAATATGACAAGTATATGATAAAAATGTATATACAATCACTTAATTCCAATAATGTAAAAGATATAATACCAAATCTATAAACATATTCTAAATACTGAACTATTTTTATGGTTCTTTTCATTAGGTGCCAATTGAACAGTGCAGAGAGCTGAAATAGTAGTCAAATTTTTAAATGCTGTTTTAACTAATATGCAATATTTATTGCCTCAAACAAAATTATATTTAAATGTTTTTTCCATGAAGAATGTGACTTAGTCTATTGAACAAGTTTAATCATTTAAAATTCCATGAAAAAAAGTTGTGTTTATTATTCTAACCAAACTGTAATGAAGGTTTTATTAACAAAGTTTATATACAAAGTTAAGTTGGAATTACATTCAAAATGTCATAAAAAGTTTCACAATTTCTTAAAACCATTTTTTAATATATTGAAAATATATTAGAAAATTACCAAATTAATTATCTCTTATAAAACATTATTATACTGTAAAATAATTGTATATATTATACTGGTAAATGTTTAGGATGCAGAGGGTATTCACATTTAAAAAATTATTATCAAGTATAATTGTTAAAAATTATTTTTGATTAATTTTCCCTTTATATTTAGAAAATACTGTTGGGAAGTATTGTGAAACTTGTGTAAATATTTTTTCGATTAATTTTGCCTTCATATTTAGAAAATACTGTTGGAAAGTATTGCGAAAAGTGCATAAATGGTTCGTATGGAAATGCTTTGACTTCAACTGGATGTAAAAAATGTGAATGTAATGGTCATGGTAATCCTTTACAAAACTATTGTCAGTCTGCTAATGGTGAATGTTTTTGCTTGCATAATACCATTGGTAGTTCATGTGAGTTATGTGAACCTGGTTTTGTTGGCAATCCAAGAAATAAGTGAGTTATTAAAGTTTTTACTTAAAAGTTTGAAATTATGGTATGCAGGGCCATCCCAAAGAGATCTTAAAGGAGGGGGTCACATATTTGTAATTTGCTGAGTTAGGCGTAAAAATATTTTTATACCATCTATGATCAGAAAGAAAAAAAGAAAAAAAAATGTCCTTGTTGGCTGATATTTGCTGATTCCTTGTTAGCTGACATTTGTTATACTCCATATGTGAAAGCAAAAAAAGTTATACTCCATATGTGAAAGCAAAAAAAAATTTGTGATTTTTTAATTTTTCATTCATGATTTTATCAAAAGAATTGAAATGTTTGGCTCAAAAGTTATTTATTTTTTATTTTAATTAATATAATTATTTTAATAAATAATAATGTTTTATATCATAAAAGAGTATAACAAATAAAAAGCAAGTTTTTAATAATAACATAACTCATTAAAAAAACCTTAACCTCTATTAGTTTTTTATATTGACAATAAAAAGCTAGCACAATCAATTAAAACAAAAGATTGTTACAAAACACTTAATGGTGAGCATCCAATTTGAAAGCTCAATTTGTTTGCGTGATCTTGCAGAAATTGCAGTGATTTTGGCGTTAGAGGGTTGGAAGAGGAGTATAACAAAGAGAAATAAAAATAATAAAACACTTAGCTTCCTCCACATAAGTAGGCCATCCTACTATATATCCATATATCCACATGCACTTTCAATATGCAGATGCTCATTCAATTGTGGATGAATCTTCAAAAAAACTTTTTATATGTCATTTTATGCCTAAATACAACATTTAAACATGCCAAATACAAAGTTATGAACTGCATCATACGACAAAGTTAGTTACACCAATATATATATATGTATATATATATACATATATATATACATATATCAGGCTTGGTCGGGAAGCGGGTGCGATCGCACTCGATAATTGACCACGGAAATTATATTTACTTGCGAAAAGCCGGCCAGATTTTTCAGGCGTTTTGAGAACATTTCAGTTTATGTATGTTTCCTTGTTTGTCCGCAAAATAATAAGTTCATTTTATCGTAAATTTGTAAGATTTTTTTTTACGGACGTACATGGAAACTTATATAAACTTGAATGCTGTCAAACATCTTAGTGCGGAAAAATAAATAAAGAATATTCGCGAACACAAAAAACCCGCCAAATTTACGAACAACTAATTCTATTAGTTCAATTAATAAATAACTGAAATTACTACGCGACTGTTCTAGAGTATTCTGTTGAATTATTTTTCAAAATCTTTTTTTTTTGTTTTTGTTTTTGTTATTTTTTCGTTGAGAATTCTAGCATCAATTGTTTTAAGAATATACTATCAAACAAACAATTATTTTAATACAATGGCTCATTCTCGGAGTCACATCCATAAAGCTATAAATGTTTTAAACTAACATTTGTTTACAAAAATAAATGTTTTAAATTTATATTTTTTAACTTGTCAATGTTTTGTAAATATATTATAGATTTAATTAGTATAATCTTGTTTTTTATATATAAGGGATGTATTTATATGTATGTAATGTATTAGAAATTGGTTTATTAACTTCAATTATTTTTGCTTCAGCCATTCTTACAAACTCGTTATACTTACACTTAAAGTTTTTTTTTCTGTAAAATACTAGTTAAAGATATAAAGCCCACTCACTAAACATCATCAGCGATATTGTTAAGCAGTTCCGCTTCCTCCTTACAAAGTAATTTAACGTTTTTAGTTAATTTCTATCTAGCTAATTAAATTTCCACAGTAACTCAATGATTTAGTTATTTCATTTGTTCATCTTACTAAGAAGAATTGTTTCAAATATGTTAAACTTTTCAAACTACGCGAAGCATAAAACAGGTACTGAAAAAACTTTTTTTATTTATAATTAAATTATGTATTAATCTTGTTGGACTTTACAGGGCCGGGGGCTGCATTATTTTGGTGGCCTTTTTTATGTGCGACATCGTAAAAATGACTTAAAAATACCGATAGGTCCTCTTGACTATTTCTCGGCCCATAACATTGTGTGTCCCGGGACTATAGCTCTTCTACCCCCCCCACCTCTTATTTCCAGCACTGGAAATAAGACATAGGAATATAAATAAAAATTATATATAATCTTTGATAAATTGAAGAACATTTGTTTCTTTATTAAACAATCATTATTAGTACGTTGTTACTATATACAAAAAATGTCGCTTTTTTTTAAAAAAAAAAATTATAAAAGAGCGACGTTTCAAAAATATTTTGAAACTCTAATCGTATTTATTTTGCTTAAAGTTTTGCGTTAAAAGCTATTTTTCTTTTTTTTAACTGTCTCTCATCGGTCCAGTTTATCTTATTGCGCTTTTTAGCTTGTTTTTGAAATGTTCTCAAAACGCCTGAAAAATCTGGCCGGCTTTTTGCAACTAAATATAATTTCCGTGGTCAAATATCGAGTGCGATCGCACCCGCTTCCCGACCAAGCCTGATATATATATGTATATATATATACATATATATATATACATATATATATGTATATATATATTTATATATATTTGTGTGTGTATAAATATACATATCTTTATATAATATATATAAAGAATATAGACAATAGTAAGATGTTAAAAAACGATATATAGACATTATTAGCAGGCTAAGGTCTGGTACTAATGTCTATATATCTTTATTTATCTTCTTTTTTTTATTATTATTTGTCTTTTATTTTAGCACTTTACTCTCTACATTCATTAAAACTTATTTGGTACTATATGTTAAATGTGAATCTTTTTTTAAAGTATTTAAACTTTTTTTTATTAGTGGGATTTGTTACATACCATGTAAGCGATCAAGTATTATTTCTAATTTATACTCTGGTTACTTAAGTCCTACAAATGAGGCTAATAATTTAAAATATACAACATGTGTTTGGTTAATTTCACCACGTAATCTTACACTTAATGAATATATTTATTCGGATCCATTGCAATTTAGTGAAAGAATATTAATTAGCATAACGAAAATCAACTTAACTTCGTGTTTTGATTCTCAACTTTTTGTTTATGATGGGATACCTCCAAATCCAAGAAGTAAAAAAGTGTTTATAAAGACTTCTTTTAAAAAACTTGGCAGACTGTGTGGTGTGAATAGCAAAAAAGTTTTTCGCTCATCTTCTGGAATGTTATCATTGGTTTATGAAGGGCAAACTTCTAAATTACTTTTAAAGCAAGACAATTCAAACTTTTTAATAATGTTTCAAATTCTTCAGTGTCCTGATCATTGCCCTCCACCATATATTTGCAGTGTATTGGGTATTTGTTCATGTAAAGATGGTTTTTATGGCAATAAGTGTGAATATTCAAAATGTATAAATAATTGTAATGCAAAGAAAAACCAAGGAACTTGTATAATGGTATTTTTTATTATTTAAATTTTAAAGAAAGTAATAAAATTAATGTAAACTTTTGAGCTGGTTGTATTTTAATGTTCATTTTGTAAAATTTATAAATGGTTGCCTAAACTTTATGGGCAAATAAATTTTACTGTTGTTCAGTATCACATCTCTTCTTTAAATTTTTAAAAATCTTTTTAAGTCACAAAATGTTGTAAATCTTGCCAAGTTCTGCCATATTTCTGATGATGTTGCATCTTTCTAACTTATAACATTTCTAACATCTTTCTAATTATGTTAAGTTTTAAGAACATGATAAAACCAATTATGGTCAACTAGATGAGCTTTTAGATAAATAAATGAATAATATAACAATATAGTGGTTGTATGAAACATACAACCACTAGCTAAATCCTTTCAATCATATTTCAGAGAGTTAAATAGTTACAGTGTCCAGTTTAATCCAGAGAATATATAAACATGGGTTGGCATGTCAAACACCTATTTGTCAACTCACCACACAATTTTAAATTTTCACCTTCAGAATATATACAGATTATAATTGAAACCCTAAATTCTTGTTTGCCGACTGCAATGACTAACATCAGGGACCTTGGTAGGTACATGCATTTACTACCATATGCAAGCATTTTCATTGGTACATCAGACAATATTTTAGCTTTTACAAAAGATTTGTTGATGACTTTCTTTATATTTGCAAACTCTATCATGTTAAAGAAGATCTCCATCATGTTAGGACAATTATGAACATTCTTTTTTAAATTAATTAAATTTTTTAATTAAGTTCACAGTTAACACTACACTGACCATTCTATAGACTTTATAATTCTTCCAAAAACATTTTGGATATCTTGGACTGCATAAACAATACATTGAAAACCCACTGCCTTATACATTTCAACTCATATCAATCACATCACTTTATGACAGGTTTTTTCATAGTCAAGCAATGAGATACAATAGGTTACACTGGCAGGTAGTTTATTATTATATTAGAAATATAATAAGGTTTGTTTTTTTCTACCACAGAATATACAAATGCATCCTTTAACACTAACGTTGAAAAAGAACTCCACAACATATAAAAAACTAAAAATGGAATATATTTTCACTCTATAAACAACTCGTCATTCAAACAATCTTCTAGAATAAAACAACAATAGACATACAAAAACACTTTTTTCATTGGTAACAGCTGCATACTATACAGCTGCTCCCCCAAATATTCAAACACTTGGTTTCAGGAAAAATTAAAAATGTATTCTTTTATTAATTTCATGAAAATTTATAGTAATTAATGCATCATACTAGGTTTGCTAAAAACATGGAGAACCTTTCAAATTGGTGAACCTTTCACTTGGAAAACCTTTTACATTGTTTTACTTTGACTCTTTAACTCAGACACTTAAATATGAAGTAACTACAAAATTACATGAAGAAAACTAGGTTGGCTAGAACCTTAATAAACAAAGGAGAACCTTTAAACTATGGAGAATGGAGAACCTTTTACTTTTACTTTGACTCTTTAACTCAGACACTAGAACATGAAGTAATACACAATAATGAACCTGTATTTAATATATAACAATATAAATGGACTATTGCAAATTTTTTTAATTTAGCTCTATGTTTGTTAACAGGACATTACCATAACCATACAACAAAAATTATAACAATACATTGATAGCACCTGATTCTACGCAGCCCCCTGCTTCTAATTAGTGACAGTCTTCAAAATTATTTTTCATTGGTGATCACAATTGTTTCTTGAGGATGAAAATTACCCCACATTCACTCTTTAATTACAAATGGTTTTACTAGGGTCAAAATTTTTTACCTCTACCTTCTCCAATCTTTAGCACTTTATTATATTTGTTATATCTTTATGATATAAACACTGTATATAGTTTCATGATTTAGTGCACTAGGACATAGATATTATTTAATGTGACTTTTTTTTGCTAGTGGTCATCACACCAATTAGCATATAAGTTACCAGATAGTCTTCAGGTAGTAACTAAGTGTGTTACAAAATTATAGTCATCTGATAGCTCATAATGGCATTATCACATTCACCAGGTAGCATGTGAGTAACAACGTTATAGTGACCAGGTAGCATGTAAGTGCATTTTACTTTTTAGTCACCAGTTAGTATGTAAGTGCCTTACCTTAGTTACCTTACATGCTACCTTAGTTACACCAGGTAGCATGTAAGTGGGTTACCACATTGTAGTCACATGCATATGGTGTTTATAAAACTCAATATAATCCTTACCCAAAATTATTTTTTAACTCTCACCACTTTTCTTGATATCTGTCCTTTTGGACTTCAAATTTTTTTTTTTTTTTTTTTTTTTTTTTTTTGGGGGGGGGGGGGGTCTCTACTTTTATTATCTGCTCTTAGAATCACTTTTTCTATGTCTATCTGGTGGCTTTGTTGGTCACCTGTATTTGATCATAATGTTGCAGAAATAAAATTTTTTTTTTTTTTTTAAATGTTGCAGAAATAACATTTTTTTTTTTTTTTTAATTTAAATTTAAACTTTATTACTTTTATTGTTTTAGGATACTTATTGTTTATGTAAAGTAGGATTTGCTGGGGAGGATTGCAGTCAATTAGTTTCCAATTTGTTTTGGCAGATATCGACAATGCCGATCCATTCATCTGCTATAGAAAATGTAGAAGATAAAAGGTTTGCTGGGACAATGGTCATTGATGATTCGTTTTTGTACATTTTTGGTGGGAGAAACTTTAGTGATCTGAAAAGTCCAGATGTTTTTCGTGTTAATTTGTTGACAGGTTACAAGGAAATGCTTAATTTGTCTAGTGAAGTTTGTCCTTCAAGTCGATATTTTCATTGTTCTTTTTTTTATAAGGTATTAAAATGTTTTTAAAAGTTTAGAGTAAAATTTAAAAATAAGTTTTAAAAATAAAATTTCAAATAAGTTTGGTAAATTAGAGATGGGAACAATGAGTCAGTAAT